GGGACTAACCTCTGCATGGACCCCAAGGCTGGGTAGAAATCTCTGAAGAGCGCAGTGTACACTTGCATGCTCTCACCCAGTTCCTGTGTGTCACGATCAGGGATGAAAGTAGAAACAGGGACTTACCGGTACGGGGCTGGATTGGGGCCAGCTCTGGCCCCCGGAAGGGGCGGGGCCTCAGGCGGAAGGGGCGGGGATGGGGGGGTCAGAGCCAGCCCCGGCCACCCTGTACCGGTAAGTGCCCTCCCCCTCCCCCGCCGGGGTAGCAGCAGCAGCCGGGGGCTCCGGCAGCAGTTTAAAGGGCCCAGGGCTCGGCCGCTGCTACCGCCCCGGGCCCTTTAAACCGCTGCCAGAGCCCCCGGCTGCCGTTGCTACCCCAGGACCCCTCTGCTTCTACTATCCCGGCCCTTTAAATAGCCCCGGAGTCCTGGGGTAGCGGCGGCGGGGCTCTGGCAGCCATTTAAAGGGCCCAGGGCAGTAGAGGCAGCGAGAGCCCTGGCCCTTTAAATAACTCCCAGAGCCCCACTGCTGCTACCCCAGCGCTCCAGCAGCTGGGCTCTGGCCGCTGCTGAGAGCCCCAGGCCCTTTAAATTGCCGCCTGGGGAAGCCGGGCCACCCCGGTACAGCGCACCGGCTCTTGCCAGTACGCCTACCGGGACGTACCGGCTTACTTTCATCTCTGGTCACTATGTTATCTGTGTGGCTTGGATTTGGTTCTTATTCAGGAACCTTAGGGAAGTCTTTGAAATTTGCCTCTTTCTGCCACAGAGTTGCTAGCAGCCCCTTCACACTCTTTATTATAACAGTGTCTGGGGACAGTCAGGGGAGAAGCATGTAGAGAGGCAGAAGGTAGCGTGTTGTACTGAGGATGATGGTACCAGGACTTTGTGAGCCAGCTTCTTGGCTCTGGTTAGCTGTGCTTAGGGCTGATGGAAACCATACATCACCTGGAGCTGGTGTCTGTTTTCCTCTGCACTAGCAGCAGTAAAGTCTCCTAGGGACCATTCCATAATCTGAGAACTGCTGGAGCGCAAGATGTTCTTGCAAGTCACAGGGGTAGAGGAAAGGGGCGGGGCAGAGCTGGCATAGAGCGGGCTACACCTATTTTATGCCACCCGGGGATTCCCCTACATCAGCTTTCATGAGCAAAGCCAAGCTGCTAGAATGGGGGCTGAGGATTGGTCCCCTATATATCCAGGAGCCCTATATATCCAAGAGAGGGCACATGATAAATGATAGTGACTTATAGCATAGGGAAGATGTCCATGTTATTTCCCCTCCATGGTTAGCCACATGGAATTATGGGCCTGATTCGGAACTGAGTTATCCTGGGGTATAAAACAACCAAGTGTGTAATGACGCTTAGGAACCATAGTGATCCTCACCTCAGAAGTACCCTGGATAGCTAACCAACCTCTGTGAAAACACGCTGTTATCACTCTTTCTTCACTCTTCCTCCCACCTTGTTGGGCATTTCACCCATCTCTTGTGCCTTGTCTGTAAACTCTCGGAGCAGGGACTGTCTTTTGCTGTGGTTCTGGTACAATACCCAGCACAATGGAGCACTCTGAGGGTGACCAGATGTCCCGATTTTATAGGGACAGTCCTGATTTTTGGGTCTTTTTCTTATATAGGCTCCTATTACTCCCCACCCTCTGTCCTGATTTTTCACACTTGCTGTCTGGTTACCCTAGACCTTCACCACTGTGACTCTACCACAGTCCAAAGAATAAATGACACATTTGCTTAGAAACAACATGTAGAACTAATCCTCACAACCACGTTATCACGGGGCAATGGGAAACGCTCTCACTTCCTTCTTCCTACTGCTTATCTGTGGCCTTCACTTTTGTCCCTGATTAGTCCGGAAACTCTTCTGGGCAGTGACTGTGTCTTTGTGTTTGAATCACCAGGGACACTCACAGTGTTAAATACAAGCGACCACAATAATATGAATTAATTAATAACCAAATGCATGTTTTCCCACGGAGCAACAGAGATCTAAGCCGCAGCCTACACCACTCTCAGTCAGTTCCTAAGCCACCAATGCTGTCAGTCACTCTCCTGCATGGCTTTGTCTCCCGACTAATCAATTTAAACACAGCTGCAGCTACACCATTTGTTGCAACAATGTATCTTTTTGTGTGCGCTAAGCAGCTTCTGGCCACTAGAAACACAGCAGACCCACGTGGCCTAATTTTCAAAGGGCTGAGCATCTCTAGCTCCGACTGAAAACAATGAGAGCTGCACGGGGGGAGGCTACGTTCAGCATGTGGGAAAATTAGACACATGGAGTGCAGCTTAGTCCAGTTGCATAACTTTGAGTTGCTGGACGAATTGCGTAGCACTGTACAACAAGCAGCTTCAGTTGACTGCAGTTCATGCATATGAAAGGAGGTTAAGAAGCACGCATAAGGAAGAAGTGGATCAGTGAAATGTTCTTGATGCTGAGCTACATGTCTGAGGTACGAATGAAAAGAGGAGTCCGTAAAGGCAGGGCCAGCTGGCTCCATTTCAAGGCGTGGCCAAGGCACAGCTGCAGCTATGCGGCTGTAGCACCATGATGTAGATGCTCCTTACCTTGACAGAAGGGGTTTTTCCATCGGCGCAGGTAATCCGCCTGCCTGAGCGGCAGTGACTATGTCAACGGAAAAATTCTTTCATCAACCCAGCTGCAGCTACACCGGAGGTTAGGTTGGCTTAACTACATCTCTCAAGGGTGTGAATTTTTCAACCCCCCCGAGCCACATAGCTAGGTCAGTCTAAATGTTAAGTGTAGACCAGGGCTCAGTGATCTCCAGATACAGCATTGCTACCTACTGTTTCAGTCAGGCCCACCGACGGGGGTGGGTTGGGTGGGGAGAAAGGAGGCTGGGCCCGGGTGATTTAGAAGGACCCAGGGGACCCTGGCCCTTTTAAATCATCCGGGTGGGCCGCAGGGCTCCTAGGCGAGCTCAGGATGGTACCAGCAGTGGTGAAGGCAACTGGGCAGGCATGTGGAAGCCCTGGTCATGCCAGAAGAACCCATCCTGCCTAGCCCAGTGGCTTAGCCAGCTTTTAAGAGGAGGGGGAGCAAACCTAAAAAAGGCACCCCCCTTGGCTCCTCCTCTGGACACGCCCCCCCCCCGGCTCCTCCTCCAGCTGCACCGCTGACCGCCCCTCCCCCCGCTCCTCCAGCCACCATGCTGCGGCGCCCACTGCCCCCCCATGGCTGCCGGCCGTGCTGTAGGTGGCCAGCCTGCGCTCCCCCCTTGTTCTCCGCCCGGCGGCCGCCTTTGGAAAGGCGCCGGTTTTAGGCAAAGGGGTGAGGGGAAGCGTCTGCTTCCCTTGCACCCCACTAGCTATGCTATTGGCCTAGCCAAACACATGCCCCAGCAAATGGGTTCCTCCCACCTTCCCTCCAGACAAGAAACAGGTTTTCCCCTTTGCTGCCCAACGTCCCAGGGCCTTTCTGGCCTTCTAGGTGCACCCAGGAGACAAGACCCACTCCTTGCCCCCTTAATGCCTGGTGCAATCAAGAAGCAGGTCCCCCCACCCCCAAGCTGCCTGATGTGCCAGAACTTGTTGGCAGCTTGCAGGGCATCAGAAGTTGCTGGATGGATGTGAGCTCTGGGCAGCCGGGTTTTTTCTTCCCTTTGGCGCTGTGTCCCAGTGACTTAGAATGCTAGGCCATAGAGGAAATGGCTGGGTCAGCCCACGTATAAAAGTAGTACCTAGTCCTTCTGCCGGAGGAGCTCAGTGCCTTGCTAACACTGACAGACTCCCCACACCCCCATTTTGCCCAGGGTCACATCGCAATAGGGCAACCACCCTTGTGGGATGAAAATAAGAGAAAACTGCAGGAAAGATAAGGGACAACCCGTTTTTTTGAAGGGACGTTTTAGAGAAACTCCATTCCCCTTTCCACTGCATGTATTTTTCTCTCCTGTACATTTCTATTGCCTGCAAGTATGTGATGCAATTGTGAGCTTCAATTTAACATTTAAAATGGTCAAGGGACGGCCCTTAAAATAAGGGATGGGTGGTCACCCTAAGGGACAAATCAATGAACTATGGGATGGGTGGTCACCCTAAGGGACAAATCAATGAACTATGGGACGGGTGGTCACCCTAAGGGACAAATCAATGAACTATGGGATGGGGGGTCACCCTACACAGCAAGTCAATGGCAGAACCAGAACTGCAGTCAGATCGCCTGACCGTAGTGCTGTGCATAAAACCTCTAGACTATGAGAAACCTCCAGTGTGCTGTCCCAGCATAAGAGTCCTCTCCCCTACCCTCTTGGCAGCTTTCAGACTGGGGCCCGAGTCTCTCCTCATCCCCTTCCAGTCCAAGCCATCTTGCCTGGGGTTGTCTCTGTTGCCGCCTGCTGTAGGGCCTGATGACAGAGGAGAGCTTTTCCACTCAGAGTTGATATTTAACCAGCATTAAAACGTCTCAATTTCAAGGGCACAGAGGGGAGTCGGAGGCAGGAGAGCAGGGCAGGTAGCCAGGCCGGAATAGCTTGTTTAGTCAAAACAACAGCTCAAGAACAAGACGGACAGGCTGCTGGTCCAGCCTGGACTGATGCTAATCTGGCTCAAAACAACTCCAACCTGTTTTCCCAGCCCCTTGTGGATTTACTTGCTGGAAACCCAGCTCTGAGGTAGCTTTGGTGCTTCCCTTCTGTGAGCCAGGAATCCGAAAGCGCTGAGCTGTTTACAGCACAGCTCCTGGGTAACTCATTGACCTCAGCATTCAGCAGCACTGCTGGGAAACAGAGGTCCCCTGGATGATAAGCTGCTCTCACAAGAAATTCTTTTCCTTGTGCGAGGGAGTGGCTGTGCTGTGCCTGCTTGCCTGGCTCATAAACACACACACAGCAGTGCTGCTATCCTCAGGCACAAGGGTGCCCACGCAGTCCCTCTGGGGCACTTCCTGAAGGGTCTGACCTGCACAGACACCTAGGGAGAATGCTGGGGAGCAGTGCGACCTTGCGCCGATGAAGAATCAGGTCAGTACAGCCGCTCGCTGTGCTGGGCAGTTGCATTTGCCTTCTGTGGCAATCTGCCTGTCCCGCTGCAATGCCTTTTGCCTACCTGTGAGATTTCTCAGCTGAGTAAACATAGCTGGGAGGCAGGGTTTGCAGGCATTTCAAACAGCCCTGTGAATGGTACACAGCCACATGCAGCCCGGCGGAGGCGCTGGGGAAATGGAGCTGGGATTTTCAGTCCCAACTGAGTTAGGCGCTCAGATACCTTGGTGATGGGCATGGCCTAAGAGCCGGAGCAGAACAGACTAGTTTGGTTTCTAAGGGGACTCAGAGTTCACAGGTCTAATGAGCAGGGAAACGTAGAACAGAGCTGGCAGCCTTTCAGGTTTTACTGAAGTGAATGTAGTGTTGGTGAAAGGTGCTATTGTGACAGCCTTGGAGACCGAAGCCTGCTGTGTTATTACCACAGTACAGGCAAAGCCTGGGCAATAGGCAATCGCAGGGCAAGGTCCCCACCCCATGGCTTAGTGCGCCCCACTGACGCTGACCTGGAGAATAGCCTTAAGGGAGGGCTGGGAAGTGAGTCTCTGTGGTTCACTCAGAACATGGCTTCCTTCCAGAGACTGCCAAGCAGGGGGCAGCTAGTGCCAGTTGTGCTGCAGGGTTCGGGTAGGGACCCCTCTCCCATGAGGAGTTGGGAGTGGAGACCGCTCACGCCTTTCACAGGGCTGGCTGTTCACCTAAACCAGGTGAGGCTCCTCCTCAAACCAGTGGCGTCCAAAGCCAGGGGCTGCGTGTGAAACTATTTGCTTAGTCACTAGAATGAGGCTTTTTCACCGAGCTTGGGGCCAGATTTCCAAGTGCTCAGTGGGCGGGGGCTGGAGAGGTAGGAAATGAGGGAAGTGCTTTGCTGGGTGCCAAGTTCTTTGGAAAATTTGTTCCCAGCACAGCAGCACCTGTCTGGGAGGGATTACCCCTCTCCCCCCACCCCCAACCCCCTGCTTTCGCAGGGACAGTTGAAATCACCTGAATCTGAATTTCACCACTGGCTCCTGGATCTTTATACTGGGAGGCCAAATACCCCCTAACTTAGGGGTTTTCAAAATCTGGAGCTAAACTTTGTGAGTTGAGCCCATTTCCAGTGTCTCTTATGTTACAGCCAGGAACATGCTCCTTTGGTCTGGAGGGACCAATGGGGCAATACTAGGGAATCCAGCATGGTTGCTTTCCAGCCCACTTTCTGTCTGCTCCCCTCAGCTGCACAACTTTGCAGAGAGACTAGGAAAACAGGGCTTGTTTGTCCTGTACAAACAAAGCCAGGAAGAGGAAGTTGCAGCACGTCTGGAAGGTTGCAAAGAAGGCGAGTCACAACAAGATGTTGGTGAGAGTATGGGTCCCGGGGCAGGGATGGCTAAACCGAAGCTAGGCAGTGGTGGAGGATAGGAGTAGAACTGGGCAGAGAAAGAGAATTGCACGTGGCAGAGGATTTGATAGTTCAAAATTTGGGTTTTGTTCTGAATAGGAATGAAAACATTGAAATTCTCCCCAAAAGGGCCTGGAACCCTGGCTCCCCTCGAGGCCACAGACCTTGGAAGCCCTGGGGTCCCTGGCTTTGAATAGATCTTGATAGTGGCCTGCCCTGGTGCCCTGGAGTCTCTGACTCTCAGACAGATTGCCTGGTGGGCTGTCCCTGAAAGCCTGGAGTCCCCAGCAGCTCTCCAGGTGGGCTGACATGGAGCTGGGTGGGTGAGCTGGCAGGATGCTTGGGGTCCCATCCGAACTTTGTCAAAATCAAATTGTCTCCGCAAAGACGATTCAGTTTTGCTGAATCAGCAAATTCTGATGGCTACAATGTTTCACTGGAATTGGTTGGACCAGCTCTAGTTAGGAGTACTCGGCGCTGGGGGCTAACTGGGCTAAATGCACTGATACCCAAGGCGGCAGTACCAACTTGGCCAAGGAGCAATTCCCTGTAGGATACAGACACTGCCATGCATGCTTAAATGGACTAGGCTGAGCCACACTGCCTCCTTCTGTCCCAGTCATTAGTATTATTTATATTATTGTCGTCCCTAGGAGGTGCAGTCATGGCCCGGGAGGACTACACCGTGCTAGGTGCTGTCCATCACTCTGTCATGCTGCTGCTTCTTGGGGAGAAGTACAAGCCACTGTCTGGCCTGGCTTAGTAGTGTTCTAAGTTGAGGAAACACTTTCTAAATCAGCACTTGTTCCTTTAATTCTCTCTTTGGCTTATTGTTCCCTTTGGCCGTGCCCTGCAACACAGCAGGAAGGGTGTGATATACACAGTTACTTTGGGTAGGCACAGCACTACTAATTTAGACTAGTCATGTCCTCAGCCGATGATGCTACAGATGAAAACCAAAGCAAGTTATCCTGGGTAGGTTTATGACCATTCAGTTCCTGGTTTAACCCCCCTATTCCTACCAAGAGCACTGTCCATGCCATCTTTCCATCCCCTGGGCACTTTTGGAGGTTGTCCGATAGGCTGAGGCTAAATTGCACCCTGGCTATAGAGATTCTGCTGGCATCTGCCACTCTGAATGTGCCTACCTATTGGGGGGAACGCCATGGAGCTTGCAGTGACACCTGGCACTCTGAGTCTGGGGGTGGGAAAGGACCTTTCAGGCCAATGTGTTGCTCTTCAGTGACCTGAGCCATGAGTTTAAGACCTCTCCCTGTGCAATTAGGCTGTATTTGCATTTATAATGCATCTCAAAGATAGGCCTGTGACAAGAATTAAGGACTGGGCAATAAGAGTTTAATGCCTGGCTCTGCCATGAACTCTGTGTGACCTTGGGCGAATCATTTTCCTCTTTGGGCCTCAGTTTCCCCATCTGTGGAATGGGGAGAATAATACTTTCCTAATCCACACGGCGGTTGTGAGGCTTAATTCATCAAAGGTTGCAAAGTGATCCCCGGATGGAGGATGCTAGAGAAGCCACAGCAATATTATTACTGCAGGTGAGAGGTGCTTGTGAAAGAGTCAGATGCAGGGTTGGCTTTTGCAGGCAGGGATGGAGGGGAATTCAGTGTCAGTGCAGAGAGGGTGTATGTCTAAGATGAGGCAGGACAGCAGAAGAGGGGGGTCCAGATGACTTCCAGGAGAACCCCAACCAAAGCCTACATGTGGATTTCTTCCACCACTCGCTGAAGCCTGGAATGCCAGGAATGTACTGCATGGCATTCAAGATATGATCTGAAAAGACAGAGAGAGAAACGAACCCACTGGAATCACAGAGCTGACAGTGGGCAGCCGCAGCCGCACCGGCCTGGGAGACGGGCCCAGCCCCACCCCCCGCCTCGCAGATGCCCAGCAGCCATCAAAAGATGCATTGTGCATTGAGAGTCTGAGTCCCAGTGCCAGTGGGGACGGAGCGCCATTGCAGGGCTGGGTAGCACCGGACTCACCCCAAGGCCGTGAGAAGGGACGACCTGCCGGCCTCGGGCCTGGGTGGGATGGTGGACACATGGGCTGCTGCTTTGGTGCCCCTTTGCAAAGGGATCTTTCATTATGGTGCACAGGTAAGCTGTCTGTAAGGATATCAGCCCCCTGCATTCTTCTAGCTACTGTACAATGCTGAGCTGTGAGTCTTTTAGCCTTATATCTCACAGCTCTGCCAGACTTGCCGGGAAAGGTCCTCGTGTTCAGGTCTGGCTCTGTCAGACTGCTCACCCATGCACAGGGATAGCTGCTGTTCTCTCTCTTTCCCTCCCTTTCTCTTACCACTGGCTTGCCGGTGCTTCTGCCTTTGACATGCAGTGAGAGCATTCTGCAGAAACCAGCTGTGTCATCAGGGAGGGGAAGGAAGGAGTCATTCAGTTTGCTTGTGCGGAACTTTCTTCCAGGTTTCCCTGAGAAACCTTCAGCAATCCTTTGCCTCTACTTCTGCCTCCTGACTGATGGCTCCTTGGGGCAATAGTAGGGCTTGCAGACAGCATCATCTCATGGTGTTTGCCTTTTTAAGTCTGAATGCACATGGCAGGCCCCTTTGTCTTGGTGCTGTCAGGCCTGGTGACCTGATCTGGCAGAGCTAGCATGCTGGAGAATGTACTGTAGGGAGGAGTCCTGAGGTGGCATGAAGACTGGCTGGATGATCTAATAGGGATGGTTTCCCCCCGGGCTGTAACTTCTCTGAATCGCTGGGTTCTCTCTCTCCTGGAAAGAAAGAAAGGGCCAGATCCTGATGTCAGCTACTCTGGCGTAAATCTGGAGTGAGTCCACAGCAGCAGAATCCCTGTGAATTTGCACTGCGGTAGCTGAGTTACAAACCTGGCCCATTGTTCTCTTGCACCCGTTGCTGGAGGAGGCGTTCAGCCCGGGGTTGGGATTTGCTCAGGAGACCTGCTGTTAGACGTTACAAAATATAATCTCAGCAGAGGGGGGTGAATGAGTCACTGTCGGGAATTGCCACGAAACCCGACAACCAGTTTCAATTCATGTAACCAAAGCGCTCCTAGTTCCCTTTCCGAGGCAGCAGGAATAAAAATAAACACTGGTGAGGCAAGCCTGTCCCCCAGTCGTCCATGCTCCGCTGCTGAGCCCGTCTGAGACAAATGTCCCGCCAGGGCTGTTTGGGAAACCCGCGGCAGCAGCAGTGTGAGTAGATGCAACACTCTGGAAGCACTGCCCTTCATTTTTGTTGAGGTACCATTCCAGCGGGGTCCCATGGCCAAGAATACCCTACTATGTGTCTGATCTGCTCTGTCTGCACCATGTGTTCTTCAGGTGAAGAGCCGGATTCCTGTTCTCCCACCCCAGCCATACTTCTGCCCACTTGGTCCAGTCTGCAGAACTACACAGCTGAGCCTCAAGAAAAATGTTTCCCGGAGGAGACCATGGCATCAGGTACCTGAAAACTGGAAAAGGGGAACATCCCACTGGGTCACAGTGAGATGGACACTGCAATATTGGTGCCAGTCAGCCTCCTGCAGGGCTACTGGCCACACTGGGTCAGAGATAAGGCTGTCCTTGTTATAACAGCAATAAGAGCATTAAGTGTGGAGAAAGGAAAGAAAAAGTGACATGGGGGAGGGACTTGTGAAATGAACACTAGTCAAGCCCTAGTCTTTGAGGCAGTGTGGTCTAGCAGATAGGGCATTACAGAGGAGTCAGGAGACTTAGAGTCTATTTCAGGCTCTGCCACTGACTTATTTCCTGGCATTGGGCAAGTCACTTCACCTGTGCCTCAGTTTCCCCATCTGGGGAATAGGGATAGTGCTACTTGCACTCCTTTGTAAAGTGCTTTGAGTTCCTCAGATGTAAAGTGAAATATAGACATTTAGATAGGGGCCTCTGCGTGTAAGCAAAGCTCACTAAATGAGCCGCCTGGGGCTGTCTTTTCTACTGCTAACTATAAATATGGTTTATAATTACATGTGCAAATGGCAGTTTATTTTACAAACTGGCAAAGCTGACTAAATAAAAAGAACACTGGAGAACAGTTATGGTCAGAAAAGTGACTTACAAAAGCAGCTGTATTGTTACAGTCTCTCATCTCTTGGTGCATGGACCTCTTACAAGTCATATCGGCTTACTGACAAAAACTGGGTTTTAATCCTGTTATCCCTGCAGAGCCAATGCAGCTGTGGAAGAGCAAGCTGGATTTTAATGCACTTCAGGCATCATTAATGTAATTGCCAGCTAAAGTTCCAATTCCAGAATCTTTATGGCCATGGTTGATGATGTGTGAAGCAGAAAGAATGAGGCTTGATTTTCAGATGCTGGCCTGAGCCAGCAGTTAGGAAAATCTCATTTTGACTGGCAAGATGATGAGAAAGGAATTATGCAAATTACTGAACCTCCTGCATTGAAGAAAAGTAAGAACTACAGGATCCCCCAAGATGTGGCTTTTACAGGGTCATGTTACTGCCCAGATCAGGGTCTGACTTGAAAGCAAACACCACAGCTCAGTACTACTCCTGTACTGGGGCAAAACCAGACCGTCATTAAGGGGTGTTCCATGGTGAGGGTCGTTAAGAACACAATAATCCCACTAATCTTTCTCTCTCTCTCTTTCATTCGTGAGTCAGGGTGATACACCTCTACCCCGATATAACGCGACCCGATATCACACGAATTCTGATATAACGCAGTAAAGCAGTGCTCCAGGGGGGCGGAGCTGCGTACTCCGGTGGATCAAAGCAAGTTCGATATAACGCGGTTTTACCTATAACGCGGTAAAATTTTTTGGCTCCTGAGGACAGCGTTATATCGAGGTAGTGGTGTGTAAGAGACAGTGTGTAACCCCCTACATTTGTTTTAAGAGCGTTTTGTAAGGTAGAATTTACTGTATCTCCTGTGTGAAAACTGGCAACCGCCCTTCTGTCTCCGTGATGTCTTGTTAGGTAACCCCAGGCAGCTGGGTCCAGGCGATCAGCCTGCACAGGTAGCAGAGAGCCCTCTGGAGACCGAGTCCGTGTCATTGGCTGTAGGGGAAGGATTTCCAACTGGTAAGATATTGTCTTGTCCATGGTCAGTGCTTCTAATGATAGTATGTAGCAAAGACTGACCCACTGACCAAATGGATCTTCCCAGCCCACCAGTTTTTACTCTTTAATATTAGCATCCAGAGAAACTACTTGGGGTGAGCATTGGTCTGACCTGTGTTATTTAAGCAATGTAGCTAATTGAGGGTCAGAGGCATGGGTGGGGCATGGGGGAGCAAACTCTGTGCCAGGCGGCTTTAATGCCAGGTGTCATAGCAGGACACAGCTAGGCTGGTCAGATGTCGCCATGTCCCGTACCTTAATACCTTCCTCCTTCTTTACAGTGCCTAATCACCCTTACAGGCTGTAGGTAATCCCCATTAGGGTTAAGGGAAGTTCATAAAAGTGAAAGACTAAGAGCAGCAGATGGAGCAAAGCCAGTGCAGGCAGGCATTGTGCAAGCTTCTCCCACACAGCAAGCCTCACTGTAGAGTCTGCAGCTCTGCAACTGCACCTTTTGCTATTCCACACAGCTAAGCCAATGCATCTCAGTCCTGAGCTGCAGTGCTCTGATGTTCCAGTCCTGGAGCCTGTCCTCTGCAGAGTCAGCCAGTCAGACTGTAACACACAGTCATGTGATGGTTTTGCACGTGGATGACAGTCCATGAGGATGAGCCTTCCAAACTCATCTGGCTTGTCCTCTAACCCAACCCCACTAGACTAATGTTCGGTCTAAGGGTGAGGTCAGTGCCCAACATGGCCAGGTGGGGTGCTGGTGCTTGGGTTATTGTTTTTTATTCTTCTTTATGTAACAGTTGCTCTTCTTTAATCAGCCGTGTTTCATTTTAAAGAGATTGCGCTCGTGTTCTCTGTTGAGAGTCGCGCTTCTCAGTGTGTCAACTCCCAGCTGCAGGAGGCAGCAAGGAAGAAGCTGTGGGCCCTGGAAAATGATGACAAGGATGTCTGTGATCTTTTCAAGGTGAGAGTCCCAGGTGTGTGCATGCAAGAGCAAGAGATGGTGGAAGGGGAACTGCTCACATACACCTTGACTGGACGGGAACCACATGGTGGTGATAGGAGAGTGGTGGGTGCTAGAGGCAGCCAAAGAGTTGTGAGGTTTTCAAAGGTGTCTGAGGGAATTGGGGGCCAAAACCCCACTGAACGTTAGCCTATGCAGATAGATGGATGGTAACCACTTTAGAGATAGTGCAAGTCCCTTTCATTTTGTGTCAGCCAAGGTTCACGGAAGATGTCGGGATGTTGTAAGACTAAATTTAAAAAGATGCTATGTATTAATGTTCATTGGCCTGGTCTATCCTTCTGCCTCAGTTCTTCAAGTCTCATAGTAGTACCACCATGCTCTTTGCTGATATCTCTTTGGTGGTCTCAGCTGCTCAGAGGCTGGCGGTCTGGAAGAAGAAATGAATACAACTGCTGGTGACAAGGGAAAGTCTCTTTACCTCAAGAGGCAGATCTACAGCTCTCAGAATCAGAGGGTCCCTTGGATCAAGTCACAGGAGGGAAGGATTTCTTACACCCCTTAAATCCAGCTGAGCAGTAGTTTGGGAGGTACCTCTGTCTTGATTAAACACTGCCCTCCCACCCCCATTGAACAATACAGATATCTGCATTTCATAAGCAGAAGTGCACTGGTATGTGCAATAAGGTTAGGAAAGGATTTTGTGGGGAGAGAGTTAATTCCCTCCCACTCAGTCTGCTGCATCAAAGACCATCAGCGATGATAAGGAGGGAAAAACTGAAGAAATTCAGTCCTTCCTTTTGGAAGGACCCAACTGGCACAGCCTCCAGTAGGCAGCAAAGCCCTGCCTGTAACCCTGGCCATGAACTCAGAGTCCCAGAGCTCCAGATTGGAGCACATCAGAATCCTGGTTCTGAATCACAGTTCTAGGCCCTTCTGTTATTAGCAAACGTGAAATGTACCATGGTCACCCCTTTTGTCCTTCCCTCATAGCATGGCTGCCAGGGCAGAAGTTCCAGCTGAACCCCAGGGCCTTCTCACATCCTTGTCCTATCTTCTCTCTGTAGGAGCTGTCAGCCAGGCTGGTCTGTATCCGGGCCCAGAAGGATCAGTTCCTCCTCACCTTCAAGACCATAGAAGAAATCTGGAAGTTTTCCACATATTTGGCTTTAGGTAGGTATTTAGGTATTTAGGCTTTGACACTCATCACACCAAGCTAGGGAGAGGGGGTAGTCACTAAGTGCGGAGGTTGAATCAGATCCTCAACTGCCCCATGCCACAGAAAGCCTGTGAGTAGGCATTAAGCCATGCCAGGGATGCCATTGGCTAACAGGGTGGAAAGCTTAATGAACAAGGATGGTGTAGGAGAAGTATGTAGCATGGTACCCAGCTAGGGTGACCAGATGTCCTAATATTTTGCTCCGCCTGCATTTTTTTTTTTTTGTCTCCACCAGCAGCACTTGGTTGTTGTTGTTTTTTTGCTCCCTCCCCCCCCCGGTGTCCCGATATTTTCTTCCTCTCATTTGGTCACCCTAAGTGCAAGAGACACTGAGTCCATATCGGCTAACCCCTTCATTGCATACAATGGAACTGGGAATCACTGATAAGGATGGACAAT